TCTTCGCGGCTACAGGTGGCTGGCGCTCAGAATTGAATGGTGTGTGGAGCACATGGATACACACAAACCACAGCGTGTTTCGCACTTTGTGCGCCGTTTTGTTGACTGAGCACAAAGTGCGCCGTCGCCCACAGCAAAAACTCCCTTCCAAACCATGGATCCCCACAAGACTTCCGTTCGCTCCACGATGAGGCGGCACCGTTCGTTTTCTTCGGACTTGTTATGATAGGGGTGATCCAAATTTTCGTCACCCGTGTACGCCACCACTGACGCCTTCTCCGCCAAGATGCAGAGGAGGCTCAATGGGCCGTTCCCTGAAAACACAATAAAAAAGTCAGATTTTCTTTTGCCAGTAAGAGAAACGGAAGTTATAGGGCATGCAAGGTGATTGAAATATCAAAAGTTATCAACTTACTTCAGCTCAAAATTAATGTTAAACCGCGCCGTGCTGGTGCTCTGAGTTTACCGTGATGTACTCGGGGGAGGGGGTCGTCTTCACGTCCGCTCTTCTAACTCGGCTGTTGGGGTTGGGCCACGTAGCGACACGCCGTAAGCGGCTTTCGAAAAAGCATTAAAGATATTTAAGGAAATACTTGGGTAATTTTAAGGTCAAGTCAAGTGCCAGGTCACCAGAGGTCAGGAAAGGCCAAATTTTGCTTATTTCAATATTTTCGAAAAACTGGTGCTTAACTCGGAACCAAAAGAGCTGCCCGCGGAAAAATGCAGTCAAAAGCCCTTTCGACTTTTTTTTTTGCTGGCGTTTGATCTCAGATTTGACCTCAGGTCAACAATTAACCCTCGCCCGTAAACGGCAATCTGCCACCTTCGCCCATGCAGGGGGGGGGGGGGTTGGTGCGACCCCCTCCTTGGCGTTTGAAAACGGAGCGTCGTAGAGCTTAGCGGAAAAGACCAACGGATTGCTCTCGCCGAGATCTCGCGATTGGTGGTATATTTTTTGGTCCTAGGTCAACATTTGACCTACTTTTGACCGGTCAAAGGTCAAATTTTCGGAAAAATAGACTTTTTCAACTTTCCGCGGCGGTTGCGGCAAAACGGTGGGAGATATCGACTTGAAACCTTCACTATCGTGTTCCTTGATCAATTTTCTATCGTTTGGTATGTATTTCGTTTCCCTAGCTCTAAAAATGGCGCGTTGGGAGCGCCGGAAGTCGGCAAGGTCACAGTCGGCGGCAGAAATTCGAAAAATCAAAATTTAAATTTTTGAAATCTGATTGTATTTTTGGATTTGGAAGGTCCATTTGCTCCCTATAGAAGCTAATATTGCTGCATATTCCCATTGAGGTGACAAGAATTAGCAAAATAGTGGTTCGGGCGCTTTTCAAAAATAGTACCGGACGCTGTTCCTCTTGTGACGTCATAGCTCCGTGACCTGACCTGACCCGGTCAAGTTTCTTATACCATATGATAGCCAATACTTGCCCCAACATGCATGGGAAGTTTCATCACGATCCATCAACCGATGTCCGTACCACCGGCAGGAAACCTCGGGCGTTGGCACTCAGTTTGTGAAAATCCGGCCGGAGGCTGTTCCCTTTGTGACGTCATAACTCCGTGACCTGACATGACCCGGTCAAATTTTTTTTTATCAAAAGATGCGCAAGGTTTGCCCCATAAGGTACCCAAAATTTGGCGGCGCTGCGCGCCGCCGTTTTTGCACTATTTCCGAAAAACCTCAGGGGTTGCACCAACCCCCCCCCCTACATGGGCGAGGGTTAAGCCTCCAGGGAGCAAAAACTCTAAAAAAGCCGTTTTTACCAAAATGTTTTCTGTAATACTTTCCACTCAAGAGTCACGACATTTATTTTGCCGTTAGCATAGTGTTCCTCTCGTCGGGACGAATGAACTATAATTAGACCTTGAAAGGCCATATTTAAAACTTGACCTTAGGTTGACCTGACCAGGTCATGTTGCATATCAGTCGATCCAAACCGTCAAGCTGAACACATATGAGGTGTTTTATTGCACTAGCAAATATATTTTATACATGCCGTAAGGTTGATACTTGAGACATGGTGATGGGACAGTATCAAAAACGCTATACAATGAAATCCGTTCGATATTTTTTTGACATTTTACCTCAAACTGGTGTGAAATCGAGCGGTGAATTCCCTGAGCGAAAATGACAAAAATATCGAACGGTTTCCATGGCACGTTGCGAACGGTGCGATCGTCAGCGACCATTGAAATTGTTCCGATGTTAAGTCATTTGACGTGACCTGACCTTGAACGACCTGGGTCTAAAATTTCTTCATATGCAGAAACAAATGTATGAGCAGGTGTGCCGAAAATGGTGGCGCTGCGCGCCGCCGTTCTTAGATATTCGCGAAAAACCTGAGGGGGCGGGGTGGGGGGCGTAAAACGCCACCCCGCACAGCGCGGGTCAAGGTCGGATGGTCACCTTAACAGTCGGGTTTTAGTCTCGCAAAACACTTCCATGGGCGTCCAATATTAAAATCAGCTTGAAACAATCACATAAAATGTGTTATACTTAACAGTAATGGAAATAATTATGTCACGTCCAAACGCGTCTCGCCGCGGTATCTAATAATCTAATATGTAAGGAAGGTTGAAAATGCTCGCTGAAATCGAATAGTGTACGAAAATATGTGTGTAGGCATTAAAAAAAAAAACAGTCGGAAAAAATAATAACAGCGGAAAAATAATAAGCACAAACGAGACAAAAGAATCTTAAACGGTTCAGCGAGCGGAATTAAGACCATGGGCTCCACCACCGGGGGGGGGGGGGGAAGGGTACGGGGGACGTGTCCCCCAATATTTTACATTTTTAACATTGTGCCTATGGATGCTGCATGGAAAGAATCGACTTCAAACAACCTTCGCCCCCCCCCCCCAAAAAAAAAACATCGGGTCGTGACGGAGTTCTTGTTTAAAGAAGTAAAAAGGGTCAAATGAACGTTCTTTTAGGATAAGGACAACATTATCCCACAAACATGTTTTTTTTAACCCTCGCATGTGTAGGGGGGGGGGGTCGGATTGACCCCCTTTCCCCATGGTTTTTCGCGAATAACTCGCGTAAAAAGCGGCTGATCGCGACGAAACTTTCAGTACCATCGCATTGATCAATTTTACACCTACCCTGAAACTTTCATGACCCTGACCCAAATGACCTTTGACCTGTGACCTCTTTTCCGAGACCATGTTTGGCCGGAATCGCGATTCGGCGTACGTCGGCTCGCATTAGCCGCGCGTTTGCAAGCTTGTCGTGGTTTCAAACGTTCAAACATGTGATTTGATGTTACTCCCATGCATTAGGGTGGGTGTCAAGGTCACCTGAAGGTCAGGTCAGGTCATTGACCTTTGGTGACCTCGGGTGACCTCGGTTCACTTTTTCGAGTTTTACATGTTTCTAGGCTAGTTTTTTGGAGCTGAATTCGAATTTAACACTCCATTTGAACATTTACGAAGTAGTTTTGGTGCCTTCGTAACATGTTACGAAGCTGTCAGAGGCGGTTGACACGTACTACGAATACCCGTCACGACGCCTACTGATTGACGTGACCTGACCTGACCCGACCTGGTCTAAATGCTTAAAGACATCATCTGTGATCAAAACTAACACGATATTCGTGATCAGTACCCCGAAAAACCCCTTAGCAGCCACACTTTACGACTTTCTAATAGGTCCCGATTTTCCCGACTTTGGGTCATTGACCTGACCTGGAAGGTCAACCAATGACCTAGGACCTTAAAATTGGGTATCATCGGCTTCCTCTCGTCACGGGCAACACGCTCGTTCTTTCCGCGAAGCTCTAGCTCGATCAGGGGCCAAACGGCAAGGGGGGTCCAACCGACCCCCCCCCCCCCACACACACACATTAGAAGCTGGAAAACGCCGCACACATGCAAGGGTTAAATTTAAATATAACATAACTCACCTCTTCTTTTTCGAACTATGCCGGGTAGGTATCCCTCAGTTTCTCGATCGATCTGCTCCGCCGTTCACGGTTGGCACCGACCTCCTGACGCCGGCGGGGAATGTCTGCTGGTCCATCCGTTCACCTCCCTGTTCTCCGCGGCGCATGCGATTGATAAAAGCTTCATCGACAATCACCGAGCTCTTCACAGATAACTTACCCGTCCCATCCTTCGCTGCACGCCTTCCCCGCTCCTGCACTCTCCCGCACAATTTCACAATAGCCTCAACAATTCAACGTGAACTACGCGAGTCACCGCGCCACAACGGACTGAAGCGCGCGCCGCGGTTTTCGAACGCAACGGCTATAATACTCATCACGCGAACTCACGCATCACGCAGGAAACTCACCCTGCCGCGCATGCGCGCATCTTCAAGCCGGGGGTACCTCACGCACAACTGCACGTGAATTCGCGAGAACTCATGCATTGCGCAGGAAACTAGATTTGCCCAAGCAAAACTCATTTCCGACTCAGTTCGAATTCACGAAACTAAGCACTCAGAACTCACGCATAACGAAGTCACCCTGGTGATGTGAGTTAGATCAGCCAATAAGTGAGCACCACTATCGTATTCACTGAGTTTCTTCATGAGTTATTACTGAGAAATGGCTGGCCTGAGTAAAATTTTTTTTCAGTGATATCTAATCGGGTTCACAAATATCCGACTATTGCCGCAGAACCATATGAGGGTTGTGAATGAAATTCGTAGAACAATAAAAAGACGGCGTAGGCATGTGCAGTGTGCACTTGTGCAGTGTGTACAGTGTATCGTTAGTCGATACATATGCACTTATGCAGGTGCATCAGCGGCATCCAGGACCAGGTGCGACCTTTCCGATGGCCATTCACAAATGGCGTGGGAGTCACAGGCCCCCTTTATTTGGTCCACGTGCCGGTAATGGTGCCGCTACCCGGTAGACCGGGGTAATTATCGACACATTCCGGCCGGACGTCTGGAGCGTCAGCCGCTCGGTGTTGTCCCCCGCCGTCTGTGTGTCTGTGTGTTTCGTGGAAGCTGATGACGCCGCCGTGTTCCGTTCCAGGAGGGGCGGCCTGATGATGAATGACGTCATTGGTATCGTGGGCGCCGCGTTCATGGGCTTCAGCAGCATGGCCGACTCGTACGAGCTGCTGATCGTCGGCCGGCTCGTCATCGGCTACAACTGCGGTCAGTGCGGGGTGCAGAGCCGTGCGACCCGGCCCGTCCCGCCTCATTCCCACAACGCCTCTGCCCTTTCTTGTCCCGCCCCCGCCCCGCCTAATTTATTGCACGGCAATACATAATGAAACGAAATTTTAATTCGACGAGTCTTCAGAAATTGGGGATTTTATCGAAGCATGATTCCACATCCGGTAGGGTCCTACAGCGCCTTCCTGGATCCGCCAATATTCATTCGAGCCTTCATGTCCGCACCAGGCAGCAGTGGTTGCTGGATGTCACCCACACTGCGACGGCCGTCGGCCACACTGTGGCGGCCGATTACCCTACCCAATACCCAGCGCTCTAAATAGAGATTCAATATTGGCGACTGGAACTCTGGGGCGTCGCTCGAGGCATGATAATGTCAACCAGTTGATGCAGATACGATTTAATCATCAGTAGACGCTTTTATCTGTTGTTGTTTCAGATAGGCATGGAATAAAGCGGCATCCAATCTTTTTCTAAAGAAGAAGAAAAAACATTGTTTTCGATATTTGCTATCACTTCGTCTAGCAGCCAGGGCCATTACAAAAATAATAGCCTAAGTTGGCTCAACAAAGCATTCAGTCATCTGTGGCTGAGAGCTGAGCTGAACACTGGCTCAGTTGATCTGAGGCCAAAGTCGATTACCTGGTATCGACATCTGCTTTCAACTAATTGGATTCGTAAATTCGGGTGAACTTTGAGGAGGACAACTCTGCATTCCCCACAGTTACATGTTTCAGATGACTTCTTGCGAACCAAAGCATACACTTTGTTTTCACTCGGTTTGCAGAAAGTCCACATATTAGAAACCTAATCTCATTTAACTTTCTCAATTCGCTTGATAAGTCAATCTGAACTTATGTTTGAATCTGATTCAGATTGCATTGACTTCAACTCCTTTGCGTGGTCTGGAATGACTTTGTGTGGAGCTTCTATGATGTCGCAGTTCCAATCCAGTTCAACTTGTCCAGAGTCCGCCGTATTATCGCCAGTCGCTAGCCTGGCGTATTGTGTGCGTCCCTCTCCCGTTCAGCCCAGCATAAGCTGTGTTTACGGCTTATGCTATCATTCCCTTTCGGCGATGCAGTGCTGCGAGCGCCGTTATTGCCGTTCCGTACCACCATCACCTAAAAATGTAGTCGTGCTATGCAATGTGAGGTAACTCGTAACTGAGCTGTGATAATTGTTGTGTTGCCTTCAAAACGCCGGCTTCAAAACGGACCGGTGAAAGAGGTCCGTCTAGTCCTAATTGGCCTTGACACTCGTCCGTCTGTCGCCACAGGCATGAGCTCGGCCCTGGTGCCGATGTATGTGTCGGAGATAGCTCCTGTGAACCTGCGGGGCGGTGTCGGTATCGTCAACCAGCTGGCAGTGACCATTGGCATGCTGCTCTCACAGGTGGGTCCGAGATCAGAGTGGCAGGGTTACGGAGGGACAGGGAGGGGTCACAGGTCACCGAGGGGCAGGGGGGGGGGGTCACCGAGGGGCAGGGAGGTCACCGAGGGGCAGTCAGTCACCGAGCGGCGGAGACCGGGTGACAGGTCGGGACGGGAGTGACAGGGACGGGTCGGTGAGTAGAAGAGGCGGGATACCGCGTGGGAGCGAGGGATCGAGGGTTCACCAAGGGCCAGGGCTGGGTCACCGAGTGGCAGGGACGGGATGGGATCACCAGTCAGTAGATAATTCATGCCTCGCTGATGGTGTCGATACTGGTTCGCCACGGTTACTGACGGTGTGCGTGTCTGTTGCAGATTCTGGGCCTTGGTCAGCTGCTGGGCACCGATGACGGCTGGCCCCTGCTGCTTGGTGAGTGCCCTCCGTCTGCTATTTGAGTGTATTGTGTCTGCAACTCCCCTCTATGCTGCTTGGTGAGCGTCCTGTGTCTCACACCCCCTCCCTCTGCTGGTAGGTGAATGGTGAGCCTAGCCCTCGCTCTAACCTCGGGAGCCTGTGTCGTTCGTGGTCGGCGGAATCAGTAGCGACTTTCATGTCTGTCGTTCCAGCTAACGTGTCTGACATCTGCCATTTACGGTGTCAGGTGTCTGTCCCATTTAACTGTGGTTCGCTTATTTCCAGGAGCTCCGATTTCATGTGAAAGTGTTAACTAAATTGGGAGGGCCAAAATGGGCTATTGATTTTCCCTTGTTAGGGAATTACCAGGAGCTATGTTAAATATTCTTTTCTTATTGCGTACAAAAGAACCAGCACAATGCTGGTTCTTTAATTTTTACCGCTTGAATGTATGTACAGCTCTGACTCCTCGGCTTTTCTGGTTATTTCCGTAATTACGAGAAGCCAAAACAGACAAGTCATCCTGACGGATTATTAGAAGGTTACGTTAAAAACGTGTCTTCTGTATCTGTTAGATTTAACTAATAGTTAAACACCTTAGCAACCGCATTTCATTTGACAGCTGCACGATTGGATGCAACATTTATCGTCAAACAATCGACAGCCAGCCAGCCAATTGTCGTCACTGGCTGTAGAGTGATAGATTTTCTGTCTGGGCCCCTGCACTCATCTTTTCATTGTAGCTGGGAACCTGTCCAATATCTTTCCTCTGAGCTGCGCCAATACGAGCCGAGGCCCATGAAATGCCCGCCTGTGCCGAGCCACGAGTCCGGAGCTTTCGTCGGGCTCGAATTGCAGGCTGTGCCGTGACTGGCGGCCGGCCGGTGCCACGTGGGGTGGGCGGGCTGCCAGGCCGGCCGGCAGCGGTCGTCGGGTCGGGGAGGGGTGGGGTCCTTCCTCCGCCCCCGCACGACGGTCCGATTCGGGAGCACCCGGTACGTGAGCAGTCTCTAATGACAGCGGCTGACGACTCCGTATGCCGGTCACGTGTCCTCAGGCAGACAGTGGAGGCGAGAGTCTCTGTCTGACCGTGTCTGGGTGTTATCGGGACACCTCTGAATGAGCTGATGTGACCCCTGACTTTTGAGACCCATGTACTAACCGTGAGCAGTTCGTCGATCAACTCTTCATAGTGAATGCGCGATGTTATTCCTCTGTTGGTTCGTTGACTCCCACTCAGTTGGTATGTTACTGATGTGTTCGGTCGGTGGCCGGGTCGCTGTCTGTTTGTTTCTCTCTCTGTGGGACAGTAATTGGCCCGTATCTGCACCGTATCAGCGATACCCAACAAGTGTCCGGTCACGGACGTCTTTCGTGTATGAATAATTCACCGGTCCCTCCGACCACCGTCTGCTCATAGTCCACCGGAACGCCTGGTCTGCGACCGTTGGAGGCTCTCTGTAATCAAGGCACGCCCGGCCGACGGCGGAATATTACCGCGCAGTGTCGGCCGTCCCCTCTCACACCCGCCCCCGCCCCCCGCCCGGCAGCCCAATATTACCCGCTGCGGCCGCCGCCCTTTGACGCCTCGGCTGGCGGTGGCCGCCGCTCTCCCCAGGCCTCCCCCGATAGCATTGTTTGATCCGGGTCTGATCCACTTCACCGCCGCCCGCAGTAGCCAAATGGACCAACTTTTAAATGAGAATGCAAATCAGCCTGCCCGACTGGAAGTGTGCCATCGCCCATCAGTATAAGGCATTCTTTCTCTGAAACGATCGCTATGATGGATTCTACTATCTTCAGTTGAGTATCAGAGTCTTCGGTTCTTATTTGACAAGTCCAAGTTTCTTCTCCAGTTTGGATTGACTGAACGTAAAAAGCTGATAGGTTTGTGAAGTTATCTTTTTTCTTGAATGCTGCGACAGGGTGTTTCAATTCTAGGTTGTTCTGATTTCTTGAGTGATCTACATATCCATATTTAATACCCATATTTTATACCCGCATACAATATCCTTGACATTCATTATTCTATTCATGTGATGCTTTCGCGTATGAAATTCCTCATCGTTATTTTTTTACCCCCGGCCAGCTGTTATAGCGTGTGTCCCGGCCACTCTCTGTGAGTAGTAAGCACACATCACCCCGTATCCCGTGTCCGGCTGGTCTGTGTACACATATGGTCCGTATCCGGACTACCGGTCCCACTGACCCGTCAGCCCCAGCGGACGGTTCCGTCTGCCCCGTCAGCTCTCAGCGGGCCTAACCCTACAGCGTCCACCGACCACTCCGCCGCAGCTATAAACACGTCTGTGCACACACCCGGTCCCTCGACCTTTTTCGTGCATCGTGAAAAAGCTGCGTCTCGTCAGATGTAACCGCTGGCTCGTGTCTGACTGGTGTGCCGGCGTGCTCCATGCCGGGCTGAGGGTGCTCTAGCTCTGTGCTCTGCTGAGGGTTCCCTGTATATATAGAGAACCCCCGTGTTGAGGGTGCTCCGGCCTCCGTACCGTGCTGAGGGTGCTCTAGTCTAGCTCTGCGCGCAGCCGACTGCCGAGTGCTAGTGCCGGGGCCGGCGGACGGCGCATCAGAGCAGCGATGATATCACACACAGCGATATGAGCAGAGTGCACCGGGTATATGATCTAAGGGTGTTGTCTCAGACATGGCGAGAGGATGCTCCCAGACATGGCGAGAGGATACTAGTTACACCAGACTCGTTAGGTAAATCATATGAATGCAGTTTCCTACAGCAGCAGTACAGCATGTAGTGCAGCGCACCTACAATTTCCTTGTTACAGCTACCGGTTTTCATGGTTGAATTTTCAACTCGCAAAACCCACTTACATTTTTTTCAGGAGCTTGACTATGTCCTCGTCACATGATCTTTTCTTGTGTCCTCGGTGTGTCATCTGTGTCGTCAACAGCTAATCGTCCATCCTTATCCTTGTCATTCTCGCTCCGTGTCGTGTATTCCCGTCTGTCACCGACGTCCGCCCCATCTCTGTGTCCCAGGTCTGCCCGTATGCCCCAGTCACCCCTGTCCCGTCTGTGTCCCGAATCACTGTCCCCTGTCCCCTCTCTGTGCCCTAGATCTGGCCGTGTGCCTGAGTCGCCCCTTTCCGTCCCTGCGTCCCAGGTCTGGTCGTGTGCTCCGAGTCACCCCTGGCCCTATCCCGTCTCTGTGCCGCAGGTCTCGCCGTCTGCCCGTCGGCGCTACAGCTGGTGCTGCTGCCCATGTGTCCTGAGTCACCGCGATATCTGCTCATCACCAAACAACGCGAGCAGGACGCACGCAAGGGTGGGTTGGCAGCAAACGCTGCGCACGCGAGGGAGTGCACGAGAGAGGTGGGGCGAACTGTCCTGCGGGAGGGTCGCATAAGAAGCATCAGTGATATTTTTGACTCGCTGTAAATTTGTACCTACAGAATTGTTTATTGTTTATTGTCACGAATATCCAATCATATCCTCTGAGAAGGGCTATTCTATGATTTTCGTCATACAATGGAGAATCGGAGCAAAAGCTCCAGTTCGCACCATTAAAAGAACAGCACATTAAAACATCATTGAACACACAGAATTAAAAACACTTGGGTAAAATCGCAGGTAAAAACAGTTAGTACATACAAGCTGGTGATCTAACACGATAACGAGTTGGCTGTATCCCGCACTAGCGCCGGGACATGAACTCACGTTTGAGCACTGCTTTCAGACGTCGCGCCGTCAGATCCTGGCGATTTTTAGCTATGACAGCGGTATTATACAGTTTCGCGACTCTACAATGAAACGTTCTCTGGCCATGATGGGTATGGGCTCGGGGCACTGCTAGAAAATTTGATTGACGCGTGCATCTGCTCGCAACCTGATGGTTTCTCTTGAATTGAGAGGCCACCGATAGGGGTTGCTTCTGCGACAAGATACGATGAAGGAGACAGATGTCGTTGAGGTCAATAAAATCACGTGCTGACAGCCATCCTAGCGAACATTCCTAGAACATCCTAGAACATTGTTACCAGGCGTGAATGTGACATAGCTATGCTCAATCGTGTTCTATAAAAAATAGTAATCTCGCACTCAAGGCCCTATATACCCTTGCACTTTGGCTCAATCGTTATTACCACCTAGAATGTGTGATCGATCATAAAATGGGTTATCGTGAAGTTGAATATCTGGAGAATGCATTCTTTGTGAAATGACCAATGAGTATTAAGCTTGCGCTGACATTCATTATGCATAGTCCGCCTACATTTTTGGAAGCGTCAAGCCAGTCTTCGTAGCGTAACCTCTGTTTCAGTCGGCGTTCCCTCAGCTACCGGCTACGCCGCGACACGCACTCATTTATGCATATGCCTATCTGCCGGCACGGGTCACCCCTGATCGGTCAGTCTTCAATATGGTATGACTTCCGCCTTTACGCTGGGTCGTCCTCTGAGCGCTCTGACTCTGTACCGCGGGGTCGTCTCCTCAGCTCTGCGGAAGCTGCGCCACGACAGCGCCATCGAGGCGGACGTGGAGGAGATGAAGGCCGAGGAGCGGGCGCAGCAGGCCGAGTCCAGCTTCACGATGCTGCAGCTGATCACGTCGCCGACGCTGCGCACGCCGCTCATCATCGCCATCGTGATGCAGCTCTCTCAGCAGCTCAGCGGCATCAACGCGGTACGGTGACGCTCCGGAGTGGAGAGGGAGGCCGGGGAGGTGTGGAGGAGGATGTTTTGGCGGATAATTGTTAATGCGGGTGTTTTTTATTCATGTGGTACTACCCAAGTTTTACCTAGCGTCTGATTGTCACTAGCCGGGAAGCAATTTGATTCACACCATCCTCACCTAGGCTTATGAGCATTCGCCTAAGACCACGCGATTGACATCATTACCTCAACATCACCCTCTCTCCTCGGCAGGTCTTCTACTACTCGTTCGACATCTTCTTGGACGCCCACCTGTCTGAGGAGTCGGCCGGCTACGCCACCATGGGCGTCGGCGTGGTGATGGTGCTGATGACGGGCGTCTCGATCCTGCTGATCGAGCGCGAGGGCCGGCGCACGCTGCACCTCTGGGGCCTGGGCGGCATGTTCTTCTTCTCCGTGTTCATCACCATCACGTTCCTGGTGAAGGGGATCATCTCGTGGATCTCCTACCTGTCGGTGGTGTGCACGTTCGGGTTCGTCGTGTTCTTCGCCGTCGGGCCCGGCTCCATCCCGTGGATGATCACTGCCGAGCTCTTCTCACAAGGTGAGTTTGCCAACCTATGGGCTGTGGGCTGTGACACGGGCCAGGAGTTGGTGCGCCTTTGGTGCGCAGGCACTGTCGAGCTGCTCTGTGTGGGGGTTGTGTGACAGGTATTGTGTGCGGCAAATGCTGGTTATTGCAGGTCAGGTATCGAATTCGAGACAACTCGGGTCCCGTAGGGATGTCCGTCTGATTTGTTTTCTATTAATTCTTGACTTACGAACACGGTCGTCACGAAGATTGATAATAGCTCGGTTCATGACTTTGTGGAATATTTGAAGTGATTCACCTTTGGACGCCTTTGAAGCGGCCTGACCAACATACCAAAGATAGCTGCCCCACGTCGCCAGCCTGTCCGCGGGATCAGCGCATCGGTCGTGAGGAATCAGCAAATCATTGTTACCGGGGCAACGGGCAGCCGTTACCTAGGCAACCGATTGTTAGGGCGAAACTAGCGCTTCCTTGTCACCAAAGGATTAGTCAATTAATATTGACAGTAGACTCGACTGGAACGTCAGTTAAACTTGGCGGCTCCCAGGTCTGGGAAGTAGGTATTTCTGTCCCCGCAATGTCGGAAGTGCGCTTCAGTGCCCCGCGGCATCCTCTCCTCCCGAAAGAGCTGGCCACCGGCTGCTGACTCGATCCGATTGGGCACTCGATCCGTCCGTTCCCGCCCCGATTGTCCAGCCTGCCGCTGTGCCGGCTCGGCAGTCCCCTGTCCTGCCCTGTCAGCGGCCGAGGGCACCCCTACCCGGCGGGGGTCGCGTTACACCCCTGTCCGGCCCCCGGACACCGGCCAATGGGTCCGCTGCCGCCGGCGGTCCGAGGGTCCATGGTGTATTGATGTGCCGAGCTGCGCCATTAGCTGGGACACGTGCCGTCAGCATGCCGTGGTTTGGAGCCCGGGAGGTCGTGTGGTAGATAGCGGCCAAACATAGAGAGGTTTACTGCCTTGAGATGCCATTTGTGGTATACAGAGGTGAAGAATATCGCCTTTTTATCTTCATTATTGTATACATTTGTAATGTAAATTGAGATAAATTGTGCACCAAATGTTCTGAACATACGCTAATGTCCTGCATTCATTTTGGGCTTGCGTGTTGTTGTTTCTAATAACGATGAAATAATTGCAATTAAAGGCGAACGGACCCAATATCACTTATTAGTCCTGGCCGGGCTCTCCCTATCAGATACACAGTCGGCACATTTGATGTCCGTTTAACACTGAACAGGCCCCCAGTTGACACGTGTCGCGGTCATGATGTGTTATGTCACGTCTCGTCGTCATATGTCTGCTGACAGCCGTGTGTGGTGTGTTCGCTTTTAATTGGGCATGTTATTTGGTTCGCTTAATTAAAGACGGTTATTTGGCTCCCGGAGTTTGAAACGTGGTACGATAGTTAGACTGGATGGAATAAAGTTTTCGTAGTTTCCATTCATGTTTCTGCATCCTTAATGTTCTTTCGTGTGTGGCATTCAGGACTCAAGTTAGTGCAGTTATGTGGAATGTGCTGTCGTAAACTGCGTCATAAGTATGCCGTTTTCCGTTTAAACCGTGATATTGTCTCGCCTGTAACATGTAACATCACGACTGTAACACGTTGCTGACCGCGTGTCTCGTTCCGCAGGTCCGCGGCCGGCAGCGATGAGTATCGCAGTGCTGGTCAACTGGTTCTGTAACTTCATCGTCGGCATCGCCTTCCTCCCGATGAAGGTATGTCCGTCTACAGCACCCTCCAACCAGACCAGACATGCCATCCCGGTCAGCCGGAGAGTTCGTACACGACTCAGGACTGGTCAGGTGTATGTAGTCGTTGCAGTAAGGCACGGCGAACCAATAACGCCCGTAACGTAACCCTTCCTCACACACAGGCATCATGTTTTATCATCATGTTTTATCATGTATTACCTACATATTACCTATGTAGGTAATAATCTACACTACCCCAGCAAAATAAATCTTGTGGTATCCTTGTATTTCCATAAATCACCAACAGGCTTACGCCCAATTACAAGTGAAGTCAGACGCACACGCATACCTACATGCATAAATATCGCCCATCCCTCCACACACACACTTCTCCTTTGCATCCGGCAGAGGCCGACTCAATCACATAACGCACGCCAGGGTTGAGGCATTGGTGATACAACCGTCGAACCCGGTTTGTCATACAGATCAGTCAACACAGTTCGACATAGATCAGTCTTTAATCAGGAGCCATCCGCACGCCGTCATTGTTTACGGTATGGTCAGGCCACTGGCCAATGCCATTTGTTACACGTCATCGGCAGTCTGACGGGATGAGTGTCCTATGTGGGGCGGAACCGGACAGCGAACACTGACCTTTGACCCGCGACGGTGTCCGAGGGTTCCGTGCAGGGTTGAGCTCAGGTGGTGACAGGGATCTTTGACTCGCGCCCGCTTCCCGGGAGTCCCGTGTCCATATGCATTAGGCGGTGAACAGGGGCCTTTGACCCTTCCCCGCTGTCCGAGGGTCGGCTGAATGGGTTCCGGCGGTCGATAGTATCACCCCACCGGTCGGCGCCCATAGAACGCGACCCACCGGCCCACCACGCACTCACTCCCGTGACAAACGGCCTGGCATTGTTCCGGGCCCCGCTTGAGCGGCACTTTCCGCATCGCGAGGGTCGCCAGCACGGGCCATGTGCTCAATGCTGGACGGATGGCTGTCTAGGGGAGGCGACATTATCGTGTTGCTAGTGACGGAGTAACACGCCACGCGACGACGCTGTCAGGTCCTAGCTCGTAACTCAAATCAAAGCAGACGTGCCGTGATGTACGGGCTCCTAGTGCTGATTATGTAAGCGGTCCTTAGTCGCTGTTTGACCCGTAGTCCGGCCGGTCGACCGTGTCCTCTTTATAGTCGGCTCACGGTGAGGTGAGCGGGCTCCGTGATCGCTCCGTTTCGTGACACCTATCCGTGACAATCACGGCGACTGCCGGTGCCAGGCTGTGACTGCAAGTTGTCACGCCGGGGAACCACCCTGCTTAGTACACCGACGGTGACCCAGAAGGGACAGAATGGAGGAAGGTGTCAACTTTCGTGGTTAAGATCACGGTGTCTGTGAAGGTTTAAAGCTGGTTTTATACAACACTTGGCGGCACAGGTGCGTTGCGTGCGTGTGCGCTCGTACCTGTATGAGCGTTCATCATCGACTATCGCTCCCATATGATCGATCATGGTATACTAATTGCCATACGCCACCTGCGCTATCTGTCCCCTCCCCTCCCCCACTTCACCGAGATGGTTCCTGCATCAAACGTACAAGACACGCAGGGACGTACGGGAAACCCATGGACGTGCAGGGAACGACGGGACGCCCCGGGAGCGCAGAGGCATGCATTAAATGCAGAGACGCGCTGAAACTACCGAAGCTTCGGTTCGCGAAGGGGCGGTGTGATTAGGCGAAAGGCCAGCTGCTGTGGAGGAAGGGAGCGCCGATGGCTCGATTGTCTGTCGGGCGGCCGCTCCGTCTTCCGTCCGCCGGCAGCTGTGTCGATCATTGTCCGGAGCCAGGGTAATTGGCGGGGGCGGCCCATGCACCCATCGATCGACGACGGCGGACGGCGGGGACCTGGCGACGTCGGGGGGCCGGCGGTGACGCCATCCCGACCTTGGCCCGGAGCACCGCAGGCCGGGCGCAGTGCCGTCGGCAGCCGTGGGATGACACGTCATTGATCATTGTCAGTATCAGGACACTGGCATGTTTTCATCGTCAGTATGTGATGAAGGCGGGCGATAAGTCATCGCCCTCAATAAAGGCATGCTTATGTAATTTTCGGTAATATTTCCATAACAGTTGAGGAGCACACATGCTGGTTTTTTTTTTAAAATAAGAATTCTGATCATATTGAGAGTTAACCTAAGTTGCCAGACGAAGGAGTTCATCCTTATGTACAGCCCTCTGGGCTCTGCACACTGCGTGGTAGGTATTCTTTTTTCGACAAAACCGATAATAACTCAAAGACTATGTTATCAGTCGGTCGGAACTCATTGCATCTAGATGCGCCATGCTCCACTCCTTCGATTGGGTCTATCACTGAACAAAGCAAACGCCTACTGTGGCAGCAAAATGCAAAAGTTTGTTTTGGAGGCATGATAAACTTTTGTGTTTTGTTGCCAAACTGGATGGAAAATCTATACCATGAAAGTCCAATCTAAGGTGCGGAGTCTCGTGCGTCTTGCTGTTACGATTTCCGAGTGACAGCAGAGTATTCGAGTTATTCTCGGTTTTGTGGGGAAAAAAATAACTTCCACGCAGTGTGCAGAGGGCTGTACTCATCCTCCCGGTAGCTGCCCACTGCGCTTGTATCTGCTGGCTCATGTCGACTCACTCGGAGTAGGTCTGCTGTTATGTTAGCCGTCTTTTCTTCCCTCCCTTCCCCCGGCAGATCACACACCGCAGCTGCTTGAACTGACCCTCCCCCTCCCCTTTCCTCAGCGTATGTTCGCAACACCCTGACACCGTCCGTGTCTCGCTGTCGGCAGAACGCGCTGGAGAACTACACGTTCCTGCCATTCTCAGCGCTGCTGGCGATCTTCTGGGGATTCACGCTCAAAATGGTGCCCGAAACCAAGGGAAAGACGTTCGAGGAGATCGCCGCGCTGTTCCGACGATCCGAGCCGTGAGTTGGCGCGCCACAGCGCTGAGCTGGCCGTCTAAGCCGAGCCGCTGTGCTACAGAGCTTTGCTAGGATAACTGGTATGGGAACTGGGATGCCATTATAATAGGTGATGGATTTAGTACTTTTGGGCTTGATTCCAAATTCTTATGCTGTCATGATGGCATTTGATGGGTTGGAGTCCAACCCATCAAATTGGTCCAACCGTTGGACCAATTTATCTGAAAGCAAGTATCACTAGAAAAGCTGTGTCAATCAAGCCACTACGTTGACAGAGAGAACCACTTTGCGGTACTTGCCGATCTTTGATTGATGAACAAGCTGTAGGCTTAGACACCATTGGCCTTCCGCCACCGTTCTGGTACCGGCCGTGTGCCCTTGAGCTCCGCGCCGTGTCTGACCGTCCCTGGCTGTTCCGGCTGCCCAGCGGGAGCGAGCTGATGCTGGACGAAGATGGCTTCAGGTGAGCACCCCGCATGGTGTGTCTCCCACCTACCACCCGCCCCGTCCGCTCTGTTGCAGACTGGTGCCCGAGCCGCAGCAGCAGCAGTACAAGACCGACGCCGGCACTGACAATGGCGCGTTTGAGTCTAGCTCGCAGCTGTAGCCGCCCGTGTCTCTGCCCGCCCGCACCGCCCACCGCTGCGGGCCCGCGTGTGTGTGTGTCTGTGTGTGCGTGTGTGGTGCCGCGCGCTGTGTGACGCTGTTTGCCGTGACGCGTCACGTCTCGGGCTGCGTGACGCGAGTGACCGTCACCCGGCCGGTTGCAGGCCGATCACCAACGGCTCCCAGCCGGCGGCGGCGGCGCGATTCGAGGCGCCGCCCCTGCTCGAGGCCCGCTACGTGCCGCCCTGTAAGGCACGCGCCACGCGCCCGGCGCAGGTGTATCGGTGTGCCCCGTAGAGCATGTGTGTGTGGTACGCGGAGGTCGGCCCCAGGGGCAGGCGGTTGGGGCAGGTCGGAGTGACACGGGTCAGAGCTAACCGGAACTCGAACGGTGGGAGTTCAGGCCGTCGAAAAATGGCCAGAGATTCGACTTTGATCCGTCCTTTTTGCATGACTATAGTAAATTTCCAGGAGTTCTACAAGGATGGCATGACATTTGCAAATTTAGCCCAGCTAAACCAATACTAGTTGTTACACAACAGACCTCGTGCCTTGTCACATGCCTCGTGGCATGGCCTGGTAACGACGCTTCAAAGCCAAAAAAAAAAAACTGTCGTTTCTGGTCGAGTCACTCTCGCTATGCCTCGTCATGGCCTCTGAAGTGGCAGTTCGTCCTCAGCCGAGGGCCACTGAGGTCACGGAATGCCACTCTCGAGAGGTTTGTATCTCATAGCTGATAGCGCTCAGCCTATCATCCACTTAGTGCGTGGTCAGTAAACAGCACCCAGTCACTCTTATCTATATCGTCTGACTCTGATCAGAGACAAAACAGCGGCGGATATTCGAACGATTATACAAGCATCAGCGCGGCATCGCCTGGCTCCGACCGTTAGCATTGACCTTCAGCCGGTGACCTGTGACCTGTGACCTCTGACCTGCCCCGGGGGTCTGCCACCCTCCTCAGCCGTGTCTGTATCCCCATCTACATCCAGCTTGCGTGCATGCTTGTTCCGACCATCCAGTAGACGGCATGTGTCGCGATATTGGCATGCTGTAGCGGCGGGCGGCCCGGCGGCCCGGCCGACTCTGTTTATCCTGCTAATGATGGCCGATTTGGTTGTCGGCCCGGTATCGGTCCGCAGCGCGGTGTAATGTGGCCGTGACTAGCACGGTGGATGGAGTACTTATCGACTAGCGCACCGGGCCGTCAGGAGACCGGCCGCGGTACAAGACAGCACCGGGGGACTCCGGTGGGGCGGAGACTATGGTGCCCTGATCTTGGGGCGTCTGTATACTGCTACTTATCGGGGGAACGCCGCGTTGATTAACGCGGATAGCGACTCTGGGACAGCTGTTGCGGATGATAACAGCTCATCTGGCCTTGATAGTGCAATGTGCCGCTGAGGACGTTTGCTCGTTCATATATCGCTCGTTTTGCAACTGTGAATGTGGTGTATGTTGGATGCTGGATGGGTAGATAGCGTTCATTATCATCTGTCTCCGGACCCGGGATCGCGTCTCGTAGTTTTGTGTTGTTACTGAATGGCAATCTTCAACAGTATCCCCGAAAATCGTCAGTATGAGCGTGGATCGTCGCCTGTTCCCGCATGCCTAATGTTCACTCGATTTGTGTTCGGTGGTCGCCTGTGCCTTCCGTGGTCCAGACATTGGATGTGATAGTGCGCCCACCCCATGTGCCAATGCTTCTGTAAGATACGGGGGCCGTATTTTTCTACATGTATCATGAAGAGGAGCATGTAATATAGATATGCCAGCTGTATTACGGATTATGTAATGTGTTATTCATTATGTAATGTCTGTGCAGCTTCATTGCAGCCTGGTTACGCTAGTGAAATGGTACCTAACTCAGATGACTTCAGAAAATATGTCTTATTCCGCTTCGAATCTTGGTAAGTAATCATGGCTTTTACATAACTGTTCGAAGGGAGTCGGCTCTTGGGTCTCGCTATGTGGGTCGCTAAGGTGATTAACAGACCCAGCTGTGTGACTGTTGCCTGGCTGGTAAGACACGCGTGCTGCCGATGCCCGTCGACCCAGCTGCTGTGCGGACTGGCACAAAGTCTTGACCCTCTCCCAACAGCAGCGAGAAGTCCCTGATGACGTCTCCCTAACCGTCCTTCCGAACACCACAGCTGCACCGTTTTTCTGTCTTTCCTCTCTCTGACATCGCAGTGAGCTGGCCAGTGTTCACAGCTGACCCGGTGTCGTCCTGCCGGCAGCAGCGCGGGGTCTTGGGCCTGAGTTGGTCAGTTACAGCCGGAGGTCACACAGCTGACCTGTGCCCCCCCCCTGTGCCCCCCCCCCTCTACAGCAGCTCGGGAGGTAGGGCCTTAGCTGGTCAGTTACAGTGATGTCACACGGCTGACCTGCGCCCCCCCCCCCCCCCTGTAGCAGCTCGGGAGGTCGCGCCCCAGCTGGTCAGTTACAGTGGAAGGTGACACAGCTGAACTCTGCCCCCCCCCCCCCCCCTCTACAGCAGCTCGGGAGGTCGCGCCTGAGCTGGTCAGCCTGCACCCGTCGCTGGAGCGGCCGGCCGGCTGCGCGGCGGCGCCCAGCCCACTCGGGCCGCGCCTGGTCGACCGGCGCAGTCACCACCACCTGGAGCCGCTGGCGGCCGAGCTGAGCACGTGACGCCTGGGGCCGGGCCGCGCGCCCTGTCCGCCACCGCGCGCGCCGGCCTGGCTCACCGACAGGTCACTGGACACAGAGCCGTACCGGCTCAGCACGCAGGGTGGCCCGGCGCGTGACGACGCAGCGCCGGCGGTGGAGGCCGCAGCCCCGTCAGACGACCTGGCGCGCTGGGTAGGACGGTCCGGGGCAGGCGCCGCCTTCTGGGAAAGCTCAGAGAGGGAACTGGCTACAGAGCACGGACACCTGTGATCTCCGGAGGCTCAGTCGGACGCGTTGCGAGCACCTGAGCGGAAGTGGCGGCATTGGCAGCCCAGCTGTGATGGCGCGTGTGCCGCGCGACAATGACACGAACACGTGAAACCGAGCTCTCACCTGCCAAGTGTGGTTCGATGCGTTTGCTGTTGAATTAGGTAGTGATTTTCATTCAGTACTCAAATTGTATCAATTGTTGAACTTGTATTTCTATTTTATCTGAATGCAAAATATGACGCGAGTGGTGCTAGCCATGAAGAGTGTTGATTCTCATTCCAGTTTCTGAAGTCGGAGCGGCTCGTAAATGTTCGATAATGTTCAGACCGAGCCTGTTACTGAGCGCAGTGGCCGTGGTGGCGGCGTTGAAGGATCGGCGTGCGGCCGGCGCCGCACTGCTCTCGATAATCAGAAGATAATGAAGCTCAATATTTGTAGCTCCTGTAGTGTGCTGTGCGTTACGCGGCGCTGGCAGGTAGGGGGCCGGTGTGGGTCGATCGGACAGACGGGAGCGGAGTACTGTCGGTCCAGTCTGCTCAGTGGTATTCTGTCATCGGGCGGTGCGGAATACTGTCCAGTTAAATGGACATCCGCAGAGAAATGCAGCTCGACAGACGTGGTGTGGTTGGTCAGTGCGTCATTTTTCAATTCACAGGATGACAGGATTTCCTTACTCTTATTTCGGCGATTCTCGGGATCCTCGGGCTCATCGTTCGGCCTGCCGCGCGTCCCGGGGCCGCCGGTCGCGGCTGTCTGTCCGCAACTGGCGGGTTTGTTGCTGCAGCACTTCACTGCCCAGTTCCGCAGCGCCGGTTTCATACTCCGCCGCGGTCTCTGTGCGAGTTGAGTTTGTGAGTTGAGCGAGCGCGAGTCGCCGTGAGCCGGCGTGCGGCGGGCCCGGCCTGCCCTGGCCGCCCGATCCAACGATACGCTTACCGTTGTTGCGTTGGAGGGTGGCGTGCGGTGTGTGCTTCGGTCGCCCTTCTGCCAACCTTGGGATAGTCATGTCGACTGTCCGTGGACTGTCAGGTGCTATGTGGAAATGTGCTAGAGCTGAGGCCTCTTGCACCAAACTACCTAGCTAGGTAAAATCGAAAAACCGGTTTCAGAATAAGCTAATCTAACGGTGGTAAATTTGTTTGCAATAGCCCAATACATGATCCTACATGTGCTTGCAAAATTTTGCATGCAAATTGTTACATTTGAGACTTGGACTGGGTATACGATGCAAAATAATCCAAGCATTGGTGCAAGAGGATTTTGGTGCAAGAGGCCTCAGATGAGTGGAGTGTCAAGTGTATATTTCAGTCTCGTGATGTGACTGTGCGGGTGTGATCGTGAGTGTGGTCCGTGATCTCTGAGGTCTGCCGTATGCCGGGACCGGAGCTACCCGTTCCGGCACGTGCCACCCGGCCGCCCACTCACTGCCCGGCCCGCGCACAGCGGCGCTCCACCGTCCGCTGGGGGTAGCTCTGGCCCGGCCAGGAGCCGACCACTGACAAAACAGCGTGAGGAGGTGATGTCTGTGTGTTCTATGGAGAACTGGGTGGATAAGAGCCAACTGGGATCAAATCAAACCCACCGCTCAAAACGAACAGACTGCATCACCACGCTGGTATATTAACACACATCGTTTGTCATGACACACATGCGGTCCCAGTCGTCTAACGGACCAGAGATTCCACGCGAGTGACGGTCACACAGTGTAAGGAGACCGCCGACCGGCCGACCGGCGGTCAGTCATCACGGTAGTCACACGGCACGGAGCCGCAGGCACGGCACGGCACGATATCAGAGGTGCGCCGCGCCGCTCACCACGTGTCACTGCATATAAAACATCTGGTACTCACGGCACGGCACGGCACACGTGATGTGCCGGGAGGAGACTGGTCACTGAGGACCGTGGGTCAAATCGGCAACAGCATTCCACGCTAGTACGTCCTCTGGTGTGAAAGGTGCAACTACGCTGAATATTTCAGTACAAACCAGAGCATGCTCAGTTGACCTGACTTGAGCCGGTAGTGGTGCTCACACAAGGCATGTTGTTGTAATATTTTGCGAAAAAATAGCACCTCAGCATAATACCATAATTGATCGCAGTCCATGCGATGTGCTTGAACAATGTCGCCAACTTGAAACATCGATGTCTGAATACTGTCGGTTGAACACTCGATGAACACTTCAACCTCTAAGTGAAATGTGCCTTACGTCATGAAACTGGTGCTTGATAACTAAGCAGCTCTATGAATGGACACTCCATGAACTAAATAGGATGTTTAAACTAAGCAAAACACTGAACAGAACAAACATATGTCGGCTTCCATTGCCAGTTAATACCGCCTTGCCGCATGGAGTGATTAGCAGCCACATGTTAGTAACAACTCGGCTCCTCTCTCCCTCCCCGGTACCGTTCATTTCTAAAACCTCGAGGGTAACACATCCGCAACCCAAATCCCATACACATATCAGTCATAAGTCCTCCGCTATAACATAATAACTTAACAAGTGAAGCTCAAATACTCCGCGAAATGTGCGACCATCACCCTGCCGAACCAAGCCACCACCCCAACCTAACCCTCCCTCCCCACGGGCGCCTGGCGGCCTCCAGAGCTCCCCAGACCGACACGGGGCCTGCCCCGGCGGTAGCCGTCCACTCCCCGGAGAGACCAGGCTGCGATGTACAAAAATTAACGCAGTCCTACTCTCTCATGAAGTGAGATAACTCTATGGCTCAGTGATGTGTAAGTAACCATCGATACTCGATCCCATCTGAGGCTGCGGTCCCACAACGGGAGGACCCATCACGACAGGCAGTGTCGGCGGCCTTCCCACCACCGTCTGCCAGTGTCACACACGCGACACACGGTATCGTCCCGTCCATACTTCACGGCACCGTCCACACGACGGTCCCATCTCCGATCGCTGAGGCAGAGTCGGACAGGCGCCCGGCCGCCCGGCCTGAATGTATCACAGAAGGACGAGCTGCAGCGAGCTCACATGAAGTCCTGGCCGCCGACCGGCGGGCCCAGTTCAGATGTAGTCGTGTCCGGCGCCCCCGGCCACCGGCGGCGCGGCGGCCAGCGGTGCGCGCGGCGGCGGCGCCGGAGGCCGGCGCAGTACCGGCAGCGGGTGCGCCTCCGTGTTGAACACGTAGTCGTTGAGGTTCAGAGTGCTCTGATCGTCGGAGAAGAGCAGGTACAGGTACTTGAGCGTCTCGCCGAGGAAGAACGACTCCATGGAGTCGCGCGGGTTGAGATTGTCCGGGTTACGCACGTCCCCGATACTCGTGTAGCCGCCCGTCGGCACACGAGCGTACTTCTCAAACGCCTGCGGGACAGGGGGACGGTCAGAGGCTGGGACTGGGTCACTGGACATCGGCAGGGAGATTGGAGAAGGAGAGTGTCTCTCGGTCTCGGCAATCAACAGTCATAACTTAGCGGGAGAAAGTGCTTCTCAATGAAATGTGCAACGGAGGCAATAACGAGAGAACGAAAAACAAAGAATGCTTTTAAAGGAACTTCCTCAGCATCCAGTATGGTAGGGTTGAGGGATCGGGAATAGCTCACAAGCTCACCTGGAAAATGTTCCACCCCCAGTCCTGGTAGATGTATCATCTCACCTGGAAAATATTCCACCCCCAGTCCTGGTAGATGTATCATCTCACCTGGAAAATGTTCCAGCCCCAGTCCTGGTAGGTGCGGTTGCCGGTCAGGTGGTACAGGTACCACAGCGACTCCACCGTCTCCGGCCGCAGCAGGCTGTGCGCGTCCAGCGGCTTCACGTAGAAGTCGGTCGTAGAGTCCGGCTGTGGTATAACGGGACGAGGTCAGCGAGGGAGAGGAGCTGAACAGAGAGAGGTCAGCACGAGACCGGCTGAGC